GTTTGTTTTGGTGATTTCAAATGTCAACATTGGCTACCAGAAATCACTTACCCCACATTTAATAGATTTTTTTTAACATCATGAGAAATGTAATTCAACTCAAATATGTCTTTTAACTATATAAAAATGTGTGAAGAAATTGAATTCAATCTATGATTTGAATTACTTGTAATGTTCAGGAGGTCTTTCTATGGACTGTATCCCTACAAGTCAAGCATGATCGGTCTGGAGTCGCTGGCAGATCCATCTTCTGATTGGGACATCATAGAAACAATTGGAAAAGGAACATACGGCAAGGTCTACAAAGTCATCAGTAAGAAAGATGGAAGTCAAGCAGCAGTGAAAGTTTTGGATCCCATTAACGTGAGTCATTGTTGAAGATTTTCTTCAGTTGTGGCATCTCTTCTGTGTTCAGTGTATTGCTAATGTGTCCTCATCCCGATGTGAACACATCAAAACTATTTTTATTTTTCCCCAGAGAGTCTTAAACCTTGATTTTATAGAGTAGACCCAGTAGATTCAAAAGGGGGACAGTGTGGCATTGCTATTCAAAAATGAATCTGAAACATGCTGAAAATGTACTGTGAATAAAACCTTTGTCTCTGCACTCTAGTCAAGTTCATTTATTCATTTTAGGATTTAAGACTCGTAACAGTATTTTCAATGATTTAGAAACCAAACAAAAACAGAAAAGGTGTTTCTTCTCCTCTTGTCCTCTCAGAATCCCAGTCACACTAACAGAGTAAGTAGATGTTCCTCCTAAACAGATATTTTCATATTATAGCACTATTGATTTTTGGAAAAAAATTTGTTTTATTTTTATGCCTAACCCTGATGTTCCCCATGTAATGTGATGTCATTAGTGCTGCTTGATCCCCCATAACCCCCTGCTGCACAGTGCATGCATGGCTGCCTTCAATTGTACCCATCGAATACCCTGCTGGTCATCATACAAGCACATGCACGAAAGCTTGGGAGCGTTTTTGCATCCTTTACCTTGTTATCTATTCTGACAAGTTATCTTTGTACTGTATATCAAAGCTTTTTTTTTAATCCGCAGCAGTTTTCAATCATTTCTAGCTTCAGTTAGGGACAGTCCATGTTGTTAATCACAGAATCTCATAAGAACACCATATCATTACAGACAGCAAATGTTTTGTGTACTCACATATATGATTAATGCAGTTGTGCTAATGGTTGTGTCAGGATGTGGATGAGGAAATTGAAGCGGAGTACAACATCCTGCGCTCGCTGTCCAACCATCCCAATGTGGTGAAGTTCTTTGGCATGTTCTACAAATCAGATGAGCTCTCTGGAGGGCAGCTATGGCTTGTTTTGGAGGTACATTTCTTTACCAGAGCTTGGTTTTGCATTATCCACAGGAAATAGTTGCTAGAAGATTTCCAGGAGAGTGGCATTGTCAAGTGATTGTTTATTAAGTTGTGATGCATCTTTCTGATAATACTGTTTCTGGGTTTAAGCCTCTTAGTTGAGAATATCATCTCAACAGCCATTTGTGAGAACTATTCATTTATATCAACTTTAAGCAAAGCTTCACAGCTTTAAAACTCGATTCATGCACAACTGAGATTTAAAGGTTATATCATGATGTTTTGGTGGTATTACAGCACGCAGTGAGTGCATATTAGTACCGTTTGTTGTTTGCTTTTGGGCTCTGAAGGAGCATTTGGACTCAGAAACAGTGATGCCAGTTGACGTCAGACCTCTAACAACTGGATTAGTAACATGTCAAAAATTGCTCTGAAGATTTCATTTTGTCAGTTCGATGAATATGATTCAAATTTAGGTCCTGAAAAATGTCTGAAATAGAAGTTATTTATTAAAAATCTTCCATTAGCTACATAAGTACACAGATAAACCCAATGTAAACAAAAGCTATTCAAAGCTATGGAGGAAGGTAAGATTTTCAATGAATAACAATTTATATTTTGAGGTGTTCCTCACAAAGACTGGCGCTAATTAGAGCTGGTCACTGCATGTTTTCACTGCAGTCAAATAAATATTTAGGCCTAAATGTGACATTTGAATTATATAGCTATAAAATGTCCATCCATTTGGATTACACAATTTAAATACACAGAAACCAGCTTTATATATTTATCATCAATGAATCCGATTTGTTTCAGTCTCATACATTTTGACTGACTGAATATTGCTTGTTCCACAGCTAGCCATATTTTAACCATGTTCACACTTTTAACTGAATATATGTGCTTGTTTTCACAATGAAAAGATTCATGCTAGTTCCAAGCAATTTGAATAAATTCATTTTGAATATATGATTATGTAGAATTAAATAGATGCAAATAGTAATAAACTATGCCATACCATGTTCACACTTTTAACTGAATATATGTGCTTGTTTTCACAATGAAAAGATTCATGCTAATTCCAAGCAATTTGAATAAATTCATTTTGAATATGATTATGTAGAATTAAATAGATGCAAATAGTAATAAACTATGCCACTATTTATTGATTGATTGGAAATCGTACCTATTTCTTAACATTTTCATGTATGCATGACAAATATGCATCACATTAAGTTCATTCGTTTATTTTAAAGCTGTATAATTAAATGGATGGAAAATGTATATGTAATTTAAATTAATACAAAAAAAATAATAAATAAAAAAAATCCTACATTTAGGCCTAAATGTTTATTTAAGTCTGTATGCAGCACAGACATTCTTCGAAATATTTGATTCCATGTTCTACGAAAGAAAGTAATAATGTATGTTTGGAATGACATGAAGCTGAATAGAAAATGACAGAATTTCGTTTAGGTGAACTATTTAATATGTATGCATGATATTATGTCTGATATTATTACTGAATAAAAATGCTTTGTGGTGTGTTTTGTCATTTTATGACTCATAAAAAAGTGCTGGTTGCCCTCTTCTCTGTAATTGCATCTATCGTTCTTTTCTCTCTCCTGTTCCTCATTACTTTCCCTCTCTGTCTGGCATTTCTCTCTGTTAGCTGTGTAATGGAGGTTCAGTAACTGACCTGATAAAGGGTTTGCTGATGGGGGGGAAACGTCTTGAGGAGCCCATCATCTCCTACATCCTGTATGGAGCGCTTCTGGTGAGACACACAAACAGACACAGACACACACACACACACACACACACACACACACACACACACACACACACACACACACACACACAGACTAAAGTAATCTGCCCACCCCAGCACAGGGAACGCTGTCTCAGCGCTCTGACCGTGCCAGAGTAGTTATTTTGGGCCGTGATAATGAGGAAAGACAGAGGGTGTCCAGCTGTAGACTTTAGGGGCCAATCAGAGGCAGTCTGGCCTTCAGGCCCCACTTACCGACCCAAGTTTCTCTTGTTTTATTCTCAGGGTCTCCAGCATCTTCACAACAACAGAATAATCCATCGTGATGTGAAGGGCAACAACATTCTCCTCACCACAGACGGTGGAGTCAAACTGGTGGACTTCGGTAATGGAGAGGAGATTTTTATTATAGAAAGAGGATTTTTTTTGATTTGGAGAGATTTATATGCATTTTCCTTGCCATACAACAATGGTTCCAAAATGGACATTAGCTGGTTTTACAGTATTTGATTTGTTGCTGCATGTAGCTTAAACAGTGTAGCAATGCTAAAATCAATATGAAGTCTCCAATCCCTTTTGAAAAAAAATACAATTTAACACATGGAAATATGCACTTTAAAAGAGTGTACTTTAATAGTTCAATCTGAACTAAATGCACTTTAATTGCAATTATAGTTCAAATGTACATTAAATACAAGCAGAACTTACGTTCATCTTTGTATGTAATTTCATAATTACTTCTCTTGAAATATGTTTAAAGTGGACTGCTGAATTTATGATAAACTAAAATATACTTTAATGTCATTTCTACTGAAACGTTTATGTATTAAAATATATTCGTAATTACACATTTGCAATGAAGTTGCAATTTAGTACATTTAAATATATTAACTTTAAATGTAATATTTAATAACATTTAAAATATTTAATAACATTTAAACATGTAATACTAAATAACATTTAAAAACTATTCTACATGTGCTTTAGCATGTTAGTTAACATTTCAAAATATGTATACTTTTTGTAAAGCACAACACAATTATTAAAACAATAATTTAAAATGTACTTTAAAGCAAAACTTTTCATTCAAATTGATTGATTACTTTTTAAAAGTGCACTTAAGTGTTTCAAGAAACAGTAATGAAAGGGTACTCTTTTGAAGCACACTTAAGTGGCTTTTTATTTTATTGATATAAAATTTCTATTTGCAATTTCAGTTTTTTTTTTTTTATAAATACTTTTAAGATTTGAAGTACACTACAGGTGCACACTCAGTGTAGTTAAGCACACTTCTTTTTCACAAGAGATACCTTATACTTCTAAACAATAACTTGTATTGGTCATTTAAGCTGGTTGCTGAACCACTTTAGCTGGTTTTGGCTGTGTTTGTTTAGTGCTGAGAATAAAACATCATATATTTACTGCCTCGGTTTACTAGCAATTAATTTGTTGACCATACATGAGATTTAAAATATATTATTTTATACAGCTACACATCATATATTATTAGTATGCATAATACAAGGAACAGTATGCTAATACTGTACCGTAGTTCATGAGTTATCAGCAAATTACATGCTACTAAATTAGAGAGGGGGCTGTGTAGGGCGACTGATTCTTGTCTGCCTGAGGCGTGTTTGTCCCGTGTGCATGTGAGAAAGAAGTGGTTCCCTGCTGGGAAGCAAAATGCCCTCATCACGTAATGCTGATGCATCCCAGCCGCCCGCGCCCTGCCCTAATGTCACGTCAGATTACTTGCCACCTGCTAAATTTCTGAATCCATACAACTGTTATTTGGTCCTACTTGAGAAATAACTGTACAGTTATTGTTGTTTGTTAACACAGACAGGGGCGTAGATTACACGGGGGACGTGTCCCCCCCACTTTTAATATCACGTAAATTCGTCCCCCGCACTTTTTCGGGCAAGTGTGTTCGCATAGAGGTTTTCAAGAGCTGGTGTGAATAAATATAGATTTAAATTCAAAGAGACAGGATAGTCCTTCTCTTTTTTGTTCCGCAGACGTTTTCCTCTTTTGTTTTTTATCTGCCATCTCTATCTTTCTGTCACTCAGCTCGGCTCGCTTATGTCCATCCTGTGCACTGAACGCTCTCTCCTCCACATCATGAGTAGACACGCCCCTTACTGCTGATTGGCTACAAGTTTGTTTTGGTACTCGGCCCGAATCAGTTTTCTAAAGCGTTTTTGAAAAACCGCTTACCCCACCTTTAAACGATGAGCAGTTGTAATGAAAGTTCTGTTACAAATCACTCACCTTCATGTCACTCCAAACTTGAATGGTTCAGTGTTGAACTGAAAGTTCCAGCTGCTCTTTTCTGCACAATAAAAGTGAATTCAATGTGAATTCTATTCAAATATGACATGCCAGTATGTGTTTTAGCAGGTTTGAAGTCAGTGGCATTGTTGGTTCTCAGACATGAATGAATAATATTTGAGAGCTATGACAGATTGTAAGTAAATAATGACATAAATGTTCAGACTATTCCCCAAACAAAGCAGTCGTATAATTTTAAAATGTGTTTAATATAGAGCATTAGTCATTCAGACTACTTTTATGGCACATTTGTGTCATATTCATTGTCATTATATGAAGAAGAACAGCTACAACTTTCTCATACAGTTCTGTTTTTGTTTTCTATATTGTATATGTGGGCATATAAATGGCATAGGCATTTGGAAATAAAATGCCCGGTGAATGCTGCTAATCACTCAGGTTAATCGTGTTTGAAAATAACGTACCACCTACACTAAACTCTACCCTAAACCTAGCTGATAGTCTTAACAAAAGAAAGCGTGAGATAAAAACACACATGCTAAAGAAACCATGCCATTTTAGCTTGCTTCTACAAAAGTTTGAGCTCTTTATTGTGACTCGTACCCGAGTGCTCTGCATCGCAAGTGCAGTGCTGTACCAGGTGAGCTACTGAGCAAGTTTATGTTTGTACCGGTGTTGTAGATGTGCTTTAATGCCGCTTGATGTTTCGAGTATGGATGGTTATGAATTTTGATTTATGAATTTTCAGTGTAGATGAGATGCATGTGAGATTCCAAGTCTTCTAACTGCTGTCTCTGAGAAATAATTGACACCAAGATTTCAAGATTGGTGAGCTTTGCTTTCTATTGACAGAGTGAACGTGATGGCTTGTGTGTGTTTGTCTGTGTGCAGGTGATAGCATGTGAACAGCAGTACGACTACTCGTATGACGCCCGCTGTGATGTGTGGTCTCTGGGCATCACTGCCATAGAGTTGGCGGACGGAGACCCACCCCTGGCTGAGATGCACCCGGTCAAAGCTCTCTTCAAAATACCACGGTAAGACACCAGGGGGAGATATACACACACACACTGCACTCACGAAAGACTGGGAAGCATGAGGAAATAGAGGGAGGAATAGATAGAAAAAAAGATAGACTGGAAAGATTGAGGAAAAGTGGAAATAGGAATGAGAATACCGCAAAAGAGAGTAGGACAGACAGGAAATACCTCATAATAATCAAAGAGTGAACTCAAATCTGTCTGTCTGTCTATCTGTCTATACCTGTCTGTCTATCTATACCTGTCTATACCTGTCTGTCTATCTATACCTGTCTGTCTGTCTGTCTATGCCTGTCTGTCTATCTATCTATACCTGTCTGTCTGTCTATCTATACCTGTCTGTCTGTCTGTCTGTCTGTCTGTCTGTCTGTCTGTCTAATTGTGTTTTCAATATTTTTCTTTCACCTAAAATAGTAATAATTTAATTTCTGTGGCTATATGTTCTACCCTCTCTGAAAACTGAATAGGTGTAGATGTGTAAACATCTGGCTTAATGTGTTGGTTGTATTTTCAATACTGTGAACATTTGTTTTGGTGATTATTTTCAGTAAATGGTCTATCTTGGCTCAGCTGAAGCTTTGTGTAGTGAACGTTATCATGTTTCCAAATACTGTTTTCAGTGACATGACTCTTAAAGTGTGAACTGGCACATTGGTGCTTTATTCAGTGGAATATTCCCCTGTGCACTTCATTATGCCTGGCAATTTCCCAGTTCACCCTCATTTAGCTTGTCTGTTTTAATGTCACAGAATCAGGACATCTTACGTGTCACAATATTCTGATTAACAATCAAATGTAAGAGCTTTGATGAAAATCTGACCTTTTGCCATCGTTATGATCACACCATTATCACCCAGAATGCATAGTGCTTATGTCCTTTGATTGTAATTTGCATTTGTGATTAGCCACCCTCCCTTCCACATTGTCATTTAGATGAGGCAGACGCTCATGTTATCTGCCCCGCTCCAGGCCTGCAGGGGATGGGCCACTCGCTGTCAGGACGCACACCTTCCTGACACTGACACTCTGACTTTTAGAGAGAGGCCACACTACTCATTGACATAGAATACTAGCATACTGCTTAGTGCACAGTATGTAGTATATACTGAATACTGGCTACTTTTCAAGACAAAAAAAAGAAAGAGATTACCAGGGTAATTATAGTTAACTAAAACAAATAAAATAAAATATTTTATTTTATTGTATTATTAAACCTGATATACTAAAATAACTAGAACGGAAATAAAAATTAATGAAAACTATATAAACATATTTGGACCCACTTTAGTCTTTAACTATTATTTGCTTACATTTAAATTATTCATTAGATACAATGCACTTATTGTGTACGTACACTACTGCACATGTTTTTACATTGTACTTATATTTAAAAATACCTTCCTGTCATTCCATCTGTAACACTGTCAAACCTGTCAACTTTACCCCTTAACACATTCTTAAACCTGATCTCATCCAGTGTACTAATTTTTCAATTAGGCATTAAAATGCTAATAATATGATTAGCAATGAAAAAAAAGTACATGTGCACTATTGAATCCCACAATATGTTTATATATATATATATATATATATATATTGAGAATTGTAAGATTTGTGTGTTTGTACCGGTGTTGTAGATGTGCTTTAATGCCGCTTGATGTTTCGATTATGAATGCTGGATATGAGAAATGATAATGTTAGAATACTGTGCTTTTGCCTTTGCCGGCCCATTTGTCATATAGTTTATGCCTCAGTGCAATAATCATGTATGGTATCGACACCATCATGACGTGCTTTAAAATGATGTGCTCCCTCTACTTTTTCACCCACCTGTCTCTCTCCCTTTATCTCTTGCTTCTACCTTCCTTTTCTTTCTTTCTTTTTTTTTTTTCAAATGAAATTAGATATTTGGACCGGGGAGCATAAATCAGATGCGTGGACCTTTAGCTCGGCAGCGGGTGAATAAATCAGTGTTGGTGTGTGTACTGGGGCGTGAAATGATTCTGTTAACATGTCATCTGTCCGGGCCGGCGTTCCCACCATCAGCGTGCTCTCAGACGGAGAGATTACGAGGGGACGTGGAGCGATCGGAGCCTGTCAGAACCAAATGTTTGACTCATGATAAAGGACATCAGAGGGAACTGAATAGCTGCTCATTCACAAGGCTGCACAATTCCCAACCTGAATACCATTATTGGAGCTCAAGCTAACACACTTTTCTCACTGACATACAGTACAATGACTCCTAGGGTTTTTAATTAAGGCTAAATCAGTTACATTTACTGGAAATCTTCAAAGCCTGAGCTTGCTGTGGTGTAAAGTGGACTGTATTTAATCCACTGCACCTAGAGGTAAAGGCTCATGTTAAGCCTTGACAGATTTTATTTTGATTCCATCATTAAGGTACGGTCGCATTAGTAATATTTCTGCAAAAAAAGTTAATTGTCAACAATATAGAGCTATATTTGAAGCACAGCTCACATGGAAGTCACTTTCAAACCAAGCAGCTTTCTGTTGGTCAGCGCAGACAACTTGCAGGATAAACTTTAACATGAGTGAAATCGGCTTAATTGGGAAGTTGTTAACCCTCATGCAAAACTCCCAAATGCACAGATGAAATGACTGGACTTCGCATGCAAAATACTCCAGTGATTACCTTTTACTATTACCCAAAAAATGCACGTACTATTAAAGTTAAAAGTACTTACAGAAATAATTAATTTTGAAAGAGCATATTTAAGTACAAACTGAATGTAAGTTTTGTAAGAATGTAGTTTTCAGACACGTAATTAATGTAATTTCATAATCACTTGTATTGTCTTTGAAATATGGGTACTAAGGATTGTAAGCATTAATGCTAAACTTTTACGTTAATGTTATTTCTGTCGTAATAATGGAATAATGTATTTAAGTATAATTATAATTACACATTTGCAAGGATGGAGTTGCAATTTAGCATATTTAAAATATATTAACTTAAAAATGTATATTAAATAACAAATTTAATATAATTAGGAATGTTAGTCAACACATCACAACAAGTGTACTTATTTAAAGCACGACAAAAGATTATTAAAACAATGATTTAAAATGGACTTTAAAAGTAAAACTTTACATTTGACTCTATTACAAAGTGATCCTTTTAAAAGAGTGCTGAAGTGTGTTAAAGTGTACTTTCTTTAAGTGGCTTTATCTGTAAGTACAGTTTGTTTTCCTTTTTTTTGTTTTTGGTTACACTTTATTTTAAGGTGTCCTTGTTACAATGTAATTATACATTTAAGTACTGAGTAATATTAATTAACTACATGTACTTACTATATGGTTAGGGTTTGGCTCAGGGTTACTTGCATGTAATTATGTATAATTCATTTGTTATTATTATAGTAGGTACATGTGTAACAAGGGCACCTTAAAATAAAGTGTTACCTTTCTTTTTTATTTATTTATTTATTTGTTTGTTTGTTTGTATGTCTCTTTTCACTTTTTACTTTTAAGATTCAAATTACACTACAATTGCACATTCAATACAATTAACTGCACTTTGTTTTTCACAACGTTAGTCATATCGATTTTGAATGCATGTTGAATGTTAATGGATAGCTTTCTCCACATATTATTAGTTCCTGCCAGACCTATTAACTGGCATAACCAGTGCTAAAAAGCATAAAACAGCCTGGACATGGACAACATGGAAATTCACATCAGTCACACTTTGTCTATTTTTACCACAGTGGCAAAACAGTGACAGTGTAGCCTGTATATGTATGGAAACTTACAGTAAAAAAGACAATATACCAACACTCTTTAATATTGTAATGTGCCGTTGCTATTTTTTTACTTTCTGTGTTTAGATGGTGGCAGGATTTTGCCTTCATTTCCACTTGTCTACAAATAATTTTAGCAGTATGGCAAGCCTTGGGAGGTTGAGGAATTGTGGAGTCGCGGCCACAGCGCTTGCTCACCAGTGGATCCTCTGCAGTGAATGGGTGCCGTCAGAATGAGAGTCCAAACAGCTGATAAAAACATCACAGTAATCCACAAGTAATTAACATGACTCCAGTCCATCAGTTAACGTCTTAAGAAGCGAAAGGCTTTGTGTTTGTAAGAAATAAATCTATCATTAAAATGTTTAATACCGTTCATGCCGTAAAACTTCATAACGTTGCTTCTGGCTAAAATATTAGTTCTGTATCTGTAATAATTCTTTCTCACTTCACAACACATTAATTGGTGGACTGGAGTCATGTTAATTACTTGTGGATTATTTTACCAGCTGTTTGGACTCTCATTCTGACGGCACCCATTCACTGCAGAGGATCCATTGCTGAGCAAGTGATGTAGTGCTACATTTCTACAAATCTGTTCTGATAAAGAAGCAAACTCATCTACATTTGTCCTAAGGGTGAATACATTTTCAGCAAATGTTCATTTTTTGGGGAACTCTTTATTTAACGCATACAAAATACTTTAAAATTAGACAATACACCATTTTTTGGGGTCCTGAAAATAGACTTAATTATGTTTACTCAAAGTATAATGTTTTTGATTTTGTTTTTCTGATTTTGAGTTGAATATGACCTAGATGTGTACCTGACAGATGCACACTTACATTTATGTATATAAATCTATCTATCTCTCCCTCCCTCTGTTTGTGTCTAGCTTGTCATCTACAGCGTAACAAACTGATGTTGTGAGTAACACGGCTGAAAGCGTGACTGTTTGCCAGTCAGAGTTTAATGGCTCTGCGGCTAGATTAGAATAAACCAAGCGTGTTTACATCCTGTTTGCATGTGCTCGCGAACACCCAATGAGGGTGAGTACCACGGCAGAATGTACCCAGCACAATAGCAGCGCCATCAGCGCCATTGCCTTCACTTTGTTATGTATAAGCAGGTCTCTACAGCACTGCAACATCAAGGCGTGCATGTGGCTGCAGGCACGAATTATATTTTGCATTGAAGGAGTCTGTTATTTTCCTTTGATGTGTTCTTCAGAGAGGACGGCCTGTCTGAATATCTATCAAAGCACCCAGTGACTTAGAGCAGCGCAGAATGACAGATTACCGTAGAAAAAAAGAAAACTGCATTTAACAGGGGTTGGTTTATATGCCTGATGCTTTGTTCTTGGTGATAGTTTCTGATGAAAGACTGAGAAGATGTGTTTTTAAGTAGTATGTCTGTCCTTCGACCTGCACATCTCTTTACGTCTCTTTATTTGGGACTCCAGTCAAGGCAAAACTAGATTAAGAGTCATTGGGGAAAAAAGAAGGAGATCTTGAAGCAGAAGTAGAGGGAATATAAATAAAAACATGAGTTCGTATTTGCCTAACAACAGACCATCAAGCAATAAGATGCTGCAGGCAGGGCTGGATTGTGAACATAATCATAGTGCTGTTTCTCTTCCTGTCCTTGCTGCAGAGCTTTTACTGGCACATGAGCACTGGGCCCATCTATTCTGTTGTCCTCTAGGTAAATCCTTATAATGGTATTACTGTACGTTAGACAAAAAAAACCATGGAATTACTTTAGACTTTAGAGGCTTCGTTCATCATTGCCAAAAGTAAGTCATCAAGCGTTTGTTGGGCTTCTGTTAGGGTTCTGTTATGACTTTTTCATGATCTTTGGGCTCTTTTTGACACTTCGAATAAGGATTTTTACACATCATTTTTATACAGACTCGTGGAGATTTGCATTTGTATGGCAAGCACCAGTGAAAAAGAAGTACACTTTAGCGTACTTTTAAATGCAATTACATAAAATGTATTATACTGCTATTAGCTGGACTTTAGAGTGTTTTTTGATTCCCTATATTTGGACTTAAGTACATCTTTATATGTCATTTCATAATTATTACTTCGGTTTTCTTTTAAATATGGTTAAACTGTACTGCCGAATGTACTGGCATGCATGGTAAACTGTATATTTTAATGTAATTTCTATTGAAACTTGTATGTTATGTATAGAAATATTTTTAATTAAACATTTGTAATGATGAAGTTGCAATTTAGTGCAATTAAAATGAAATGTAATATCGAATAAGGCACTACAGTTCAAATTATAATCAAGTACTTGTGCTGTTGTATGTTAGTCAACACATCAAAATAAGTGTACATCTTTAAAGCACAAAGAAGATTTTATTTAAAAATTGAATTATAAAATTGAAATATTCAAAAATGATTTAAAATGTACTTTAAAGTAAAACGCATTTAATGATTATATTACAAAGTGCACATTTTAAAAGTGTACTTAGGTTTGTTAAGAAAAATAGTCTCTTTTTAAATACACGCATGGAGGAAAAAAAAAACTATATGGAAGTCAATGGCTACCATCAAGTGTTTAGATACCAACGTTCTTCTAAATAACTCCTTTTGTGTTCAACAAAAGCAATAAAACCACACCAGTTTGGAACAACTTGAGGATGAGTAAATGATGACAGGATTTTCATTTTTGAGTGAACTATCCCTTTAAGTGGCCTTTTATTTCATTACAAAACTGCAAGTACAGTTTTTTAAAATGTACCTTTAAGATTTGAAGTATTCTACAAGTGCACATTCAATACAATTAAGAACATTTCTTTTTCAAAAGGGTTTGGATGAATAGATTTAAACAAATATAGTTTTTTAGTGTATATGTCTCCAATAAGACAAAGAACATCCTGAGGCTGGAATGTACTGTGTGTTGTTCAGGAAAGCCTTTTCCAGCATGTTGCTCTTAAAAATGAAGTTTTCTTAGATGGCCTAAAACTGTCCCAGACTTTGAGGCTCCACAGCATCACAGCCACTGAGAGCTGCTTGTGTGTTAATAAATGAGCCTATGAGAGTGTGTGTTTTAATGTATGGGTGTGTGTGTGTGTGTGTGTGTGTGTGTGTGTGGTGTGTGTGTGTGTGTGTGAGAGAGTTAATAGATGGCTCTGTCTGAGTGTAGCTGACAGAGGGATTATTCGCTCTCATAACTCGGCAGATCTGCGGACAGATGTTGCCTGCCAGACACTCTGCAGGGTGGCTCGTTTGTCATCCAGCAGCAGGCCGACGCATCCCTGGCCCACACTCTGTGCCTTAAAGACTTAAACACTTACAACTCCACCTCACTGATATACAGTACAGCAGCTCATCTGAGATACCACCTGCTCTACTGAAGAGCTCAAGACTCGCTTAACTGCTTCTCTGCTGAAAACTCTAAACTCAAGTGCTGAGGGCTTGTGGGATTTGATGTACAGTACTTCAGTCATTACTGTCACTCAAATACACATGCAATGAATGCTCACAGAACACAAGGTTGGGTAGTTCTCATTCTTTTTACTTATAGAGTGGCCTTCTAAAGTTTGGAAATGTATGGTTTTGGAAAATATCAGTATAAATCCTTAGCATTTCTCGGCGTATGCATTAACATAACTTGCAATAATAACTGCAATTATCATTGCAGACCAGCAATAATGACTTTTAAATGTAATGTTAATGGCTATATTACATGTCACAGTCCGACAGGCTCCTTTTGGCAACAGTGAATCCTAATTAATTACTGGATTAAACTTGCCGCAGGTTACTTTTGTGAGAATTATCTGCACACCTTTAGAGATTCACTGATTGATTGACTATTAAGATTAGAACACAACACAGCAATTAGAAAACTATTTAGAGATGCATTGAAAGTTAAAGTGCATTAAATAAATTAATGGCAACGGACGTTGCATTTAACCAAAGATGTAAGCAAATGTGCACTGATCCATTCTCTGATCCATAATCAGAACTATATCCCTCACCAAATATCAAATAAGTAAATGAAATGTTGATTTTGAGTTTAATTTATTTTTCATTGCTTCAAATAAAATAAATATTAACTGAAATAAAATAAAATATAAAAATGCTCATTTTCATTTAGTTTAAGTTGAAGTACTACAATAACTGAAAGTAAATTAACTAAAACTAAAACTTAATAAAAAGGAAACAGGCATTAAAAAAAGACAAAAAACAACAAAATTACCAAAACTTTAACTAAAATTAAAAAGAAAAACAGAAAAAAGAAAAATACAATCTAATTCAAAATATTAAACTTTAATCAGTGACACTAAAATAACACTGCCTCCTGAACATCATTGCTAAACTTAACATTGTCAAAATATGTGGTAGTTTAATATAATAACTCATAGCAACAATATGCTGTATTTATAACCTGAAGTCTACAATTAATGTTAGAAAATATTGGGAGATTTTTGATGGTGACAGTATAAAGAGAAGATGAGAGAGCATATTGATTTTAGTGTAGGACTGTAGAAAGGTACAAATATTTGATTTCTAGGCTTTTATACTAGAGAAGCTGTTCTGAATAGCTGTTCTTTGGCACAGGTCTGTACCTGAATGATGCATTTGTGCTTTCTGCTTTTCTTTGTATAGGAAGATGAATGCGAACAGACATTTGTTCTGAACAAACACAGTTGTCCCTTTAGATTTGTAATTTCTTTACCATCGCTGAATGAGGTCAATCCAATATGTTTGCTTGTGTCTCATTCATGTGTGTTGTGTCTTTTGTGTGTTTTATCTGCAGGAACCCGTCTCCCACCCTCCGCCACCCGGAGCACTGGTGCAGGAGTTTCAGTCACTTCATTGCTCAGTGAGTACAACAGCTTCATCTCTCTCTTCTGTACAGAACAAACTCTCCCTATGATATGTGTTCTTATTGATATTGTGTATTATTTTTTACTTAAAGTCACTTGCCAGTTAATCATTTTTTTTAATCCTGAATCTGTGTGAAATACTGAAATACTGATCTCTGGAAATACTGAGTATTTACAGTAGACAGGAAATGTGTTCCGAAGTTGGCAGTTTAATTTCTCATAGTTTCTCAGTGGCTTCAAAAAGTATTTGTTGTAATTTAATACATCTATTTGTATACGCACTACCATTCCAAAGTTTGGGGTCAGTAAGGTTTTTTGTTGTAAGTTGTAAGTATAAGAATTTTGTTTTCTTAAGAAATTTATTTTTTCTGCAAGCATGCATTCAATTCATCAAAAGTGACAGTAAAGACATTGTTACAAAAATACATTTTAAACAAATGCTGTTCTTCTGAACTTTCATCAAGGAATTCTCAAAATCAATCTTTCCACAAAATATGAAGTTTAACTAAGCAGCACAACTGTTTTCAACATTGATAATAATCAGAAATGTTCCCTATCGATACTTCACTCCTACTGCGTCTGCTAAGACGCTATGAGGAAAACTCCTTTTTCTCCGATGACTGAAGGTTTTTCAATAATGCAGTGTAACTGCATGGCCATTGGTTCATGCAGTAAATTAAAAATGAACCAATGGCTCGGCAGCGGAGCTACACGAGCCTATGGTGATGAAGCCCGCCAGAGCCCGCCAATATGGGCGGGGCCATCTGGCTTTATAAGCGGGCATGTCGCCATAGGATTCTCAGATTTCTTCTCCTTCAGCGACGACGATGATCTTCGCTGAGACTACGGAACCTGAAGCTTCGCCATTGAAATTCCTCGCAGCGGATCAAGACCTCTCTGCTCGGCCGATCTCGCCGCTTCTCACAGCTGCCTACAGTGCCGCAGCAGCGCCGGTCTTCCAGATCCCCTGCCACCATCCAGCGATCTAAAAGAGCGATTTTAAAAGAGCTAATTTTGCGGTGTTGATGCAAATGCCGCCCCGTTTCTGTCGCTCATGCAGGGCTCCCCATGCATGCCACTGATGGTCACAGCGAGTGCATCTCATGCTTGGGGAGATCCTACACTGAAGATGCGCTCACGGAGACGGAATGTCCTCATTGCGAGGATATGAGTATCTCTGTGCTCGTGGGCAGCTTTCTTTTCAGAAAGCGACCCCACCCCTCGCGCCCTCCCGTTTTCTTCCTCCCAGGAGCCTGCGAGGAAAAAACAGCAGGGCAGAGGACCTCGGCGCACGGAGACGAGCGATCTCACGCCGGCCCCGCCCCCGCGTGCCTTGCTCTCTCCTCAGAGAGAGGGTTCCCCCATCCTCTTCTCCCAGCCAGACCAGTATCCCTCCACGGCTCCGAGCGATCTGGTCTGGTTTGGTGGGAGCGAGTGTGACGCGGTTGATGACAGCTTGTCTTTGGCTGCCTCCAACACAGAGGAGCTGTCGGGCTCAATCAATGACCCTGCCCCCCTGCCGCCTACGGAGTACAGCGAGCCCAAGCCAGGCATGGACGCCGAGCTTATCCGCATGCTGTCAAAGGCTGTAGAGGAGCTGGGATTGGAGTGGACTCCACCGGAGGAGCCTAAAAGATGCCTCCCCTGGACGAGTCTCACTCTATGGTGGTCTTACAGGTCTATCAGGCCAAACTCCTCCAGAGCATGGATGAGTCCGGCCCGGACCTAGCAGCTTTTAACCTGATAATCCGCACCTGGACACCGGCGCACTGAACGCTCTTTGTTTGCACGTGTCAATGTTTACGAATAGATTAAATGAAAAGGGACATAATTAACGTTGACAAACTATATATCATTCTAAAGGTCTAAAGGTTCATAAAAGATGGCGGCGCGTTCACACGCTGCGGCTTCTCTCTCTCCCGACAGAAAGGTGTTTTCGTGTTTTTTGTGTATATTTGTATAGTTGTATTTTATACTTAATCTGTATATCTGTATTTATGTTCTACTGTTAGTGTTATCTGTATGCACCAAGGGTCTGAGAGTAACGCAATTTCAATTCTCTGTGTGTATGTGCTGTACATGTGGAAGAATTGACAATAAAGCAGACTTGACTAAGCCTCAAGCATCGACGATAGATCGCTGTTTTTCAATGGAAAGCTTATAAGGAATGTATTTGCTAAATTTGTGTAAGCAGTACACATCAAAACGTGCATAATTAAAAATGCAGTACATACCAGATTCATCGTAATAACAAGTCATAAATGCATCCACTGCTGTAAATCCCAGTTTAGTTAGAAAGGCAAGGGTCCACTGAACAACATCCTATAGAGCACTTTTAGTCCAACGAAACAATAACGTTGTAATATGGATGGTTATAAGGTAAGGGTCCACTGAACAACATCCCATAGAGCACTTTTAGTCCAACGAAACAATAACGTTGTAATATGGATGGTTATTCCTTTGTTTACGTCTTATTTCTTTGGGGGAGAGTTATTGTTTGTATCCGTTATGGAATAACTTACACAAAGAACTGTGTCTTGGTAGTAAAAAACAACATGGTTTAGATACACGGAATCTTGTTTATTTGAATTCTGGCTCTCTCTTGTGACGGCTTGTGATGCACGCTGTGACTAGGGGTGTAACGATTCACTCGTTTTATCGATGCATCGATTACAGACCCTGACGATGCATATGCATCGATCTTGAACATGGATTTTTGAATCGTGAATCGTCAATTTCGGACAGTAATCGATTTAAAATGCTAAGAATCGAATGAATCGCAATTTATATAGCAATTCAATGCTTTCATATATAGACATTAAATTACTACAAGCATGAATGAATGGAGACCTTGAACAGTGTTCGTGCCCTCGCATCTCTCCTTCACGCGCTCCACTATTTCCCGCCTGCAGTGACTGTCACAGGATTGCACTCACGCTCAGTTCGTCTCACTGACACATTTTTAAGCAGCTGATGTGTGATCTCTCCTTAGTACTCATGGCCAGTAATGCTAAAGTGAAGTAGTTTTACTTTTCTGTAGGTTTTCAATGGCTCTCGGTCATACCGACGACATTACCTCAGCAGTCGAAGGCTGCGTATTTATTGCACGGACGGAGCAAAAATGTAAGTGTCTAAAGCATACGCACAGTTCCATTGAATGATAATGTGTTTTAACAATGTCCTTGAACCGAATGTACGAAGGAAACTGTTAAAATAACCACAGCATTAACAACAACCTTGAAATAAGAGCGCAAGGTTTATCTGATAATCAGATGCATGAAAGTAGTGTTCATTGCTATAGCAAACTATAAAATTGCTATAGCGTTTTTTTTTTTCAGAATCATCATTCGTCGATGGAGAGGAAAAGTTAAATACTCTAGCATTTTACTTTATGAAAATGAGATAAAGAAGTTTTCGCACTGAAAGAAAAGTGATCTTGCGCTCAAATAACTTAAGACATGCCAGGAAATGCCTAATATGGACAAAGGCATCTATCGCTGCAGCTAAGCTGAATAAAAAGCAGAATGAACTGGTGAAACGTTAAGACAATAAACACAATAAATAAATAAAATT